GCCCCCCCCCCCCCCGGCATAAGTTGAATGACAGGAAGAATTGCTTCAGAGTAGGGGGGACCCTTCGGCTTAGGCACAGTGACAAGGAACCCTGCCAGATATGAGTGACTGTTCGGGGTCAACTGACAGGGGGCTAGCTTTACAAAACGGAGGTACTCCAACACAAAAGGATGAAGGGGGAACATGAGACCCAGCTCCACCGAAAGCAGATGCACGGCAAAGCAGCCGTCGGGGGCACGAAGGAGCACGTCATCCGGCTTTGGCTCTACCACTTGCGCCGAAGGCCCTACCAAAAATTGCACCGCCATCATCTCCCCTCGGGTACCTTTATTTTTGACCTCCAAGGCGGCCGTATTCAGGAAAGAATAGCCCTCGGGGAGTCCCAGTGGCTGGCCAGCGTCGACGGCAGCTTGCTTCTTCTTCGGAGCCACCCTCCCCTTCTTTCTCTTCTGTCCTGGGGCCACACTGAGGGGTACAGCGTCTATAGGCCGGGAGCTCCCAGCTTCAGTACCACACCGAGGGGGAGGGATAGCTACAGTTACCTTCAGGCCCTCCTTCTGGGCCTCGTCCTCGGCCACTTGACAGGCGATGGCAAGCTCCTCATCCGCGTTCACCTGCTCGAAGTCTTCGGCCTCGAGCTCAAGTTGAAGGTCACTCTGTACCGCCTCGGCTACGGCCCTATCATCAATGGCCGAGAGCTGCTCGCTCGAGGATTCCACATCAGACGGCACTTCAACGTTCACTGAAGCCTCCCCAGAGATGTCTTGGGAATCACTAGCTGACGACATCTTTCTAAAAGGCAAGGGGTCGGGAAACTCGTACGAATGGGGGTTTCCTGAAGGGTCCTAAAGACTAACCCTAAGGCCAAAAGAAATACTCAAATGGAGCTAAGGGCGGAAGGAGAACTGACCTCTGAAAGCTGAGTTTTTGACCGAAAGCTTGAGTTTCTCTCTAGAATTTTTTGCAGAGCTTCGCTACAGATGTGGATGCGTAAAGGAGGAATGGCCCTGGCTTGGGGTATTTATAGGCTCCCAGATCCGGGCTTGGGCCGAGATACGGGCTCCCAGCAGCCAAAGCCATCATTACGCACCGTCGTTTCACCCAACCTGTAATACTTGAGATTTAATTTAAACGGATTAATAGTACTACTCATACCAACAAGATGCATCTCCTTTTAAGGGAGCTCATTAACCAAGAACTCCAAAGTTAAGCGTGCTTGCACGGGAGTAGTCTTGGGATGGGTGACCCCCCTGAGAAGTTTCTGAGGGCGCGCACGAGTGAGGACAAAGTGCGCGGAAAAGGCTAGTGGCGGTTTGTGAGGACAGTATTAGAGGTCAGAAGTAACTACCTCGGGGCCTACGGGGCCGGGGTGTTACAAATGGTATCAGAGCAACCCTGCGACAGTGTGCTGATCCGTTGGATATCGGGCGGGCACTTAGCAGGGGAAAAGATTCTGGGATATGATTGAGATTGGTTTATGAGCGCAACGAGGACGTTGCATTCCTAAGTGGGGGTGATTGTAATACTTGAGATTTAATTTAAACGGATTAATAGTACTACTCATACCAACAAGATGCATCTCCTTTTAAGGGAGCTCATTAACCAAGAACTCCAAATTTAAGCGTGCTTGCACGGGAGTAGTCTTGGGATGGGTGACCCCCCTGAGAAGTTTCTGAGGGCGCGCACGAGTGAGGACAAAGTGTGCGGAAAAGGCTAGTGGCGGTTTGTGAGGACAGTATTAGAGGTCAGAAGTAACTACCTCGGGGCCTACGGGGCTGGGGTGTTACACAACCGGTGACACCGCCCACGAACAACCAGCCATCACACGCCACGTGTGCCACCCCCCCAACGGCTATATCCTGTCGTTACATATTCCAACGGCTATATTCTGGAAGCCCCCGGGTTTTCTACTTCACTCCACTTCATCAAGGATAGCCTCCGGGTACACTCACTCAGAAGTGCCCCCGGGGTGTGCCCCACACAGCACATAACAGACGCCTTCGGGATCACTCCTTCAGAAACCCAGGGCTTCATATCAGGGCATCCCTCGGGGATTCCCCCTCAGCACTGCAAAACCGGGTAGTCCCCGGGGAGTTGCCTCATTGACGGATGACCCACGGCACACAGGTAATGGGAGCCCTCGGGTATCTTCATCACCAACTAATCAACAAACAGTGGACCACCCGGTAACAACTCCATTGCCGCCCTCATCCAGCAGGCCCTCGATCCCCGAATTGAGGGGCTCCCCTTCGGCGCCACCAGGACATCAACAGCAAGCCTTCGGCTAATCAACACAGGAGCCCTCAGAAGAGAGAGCCTTCGGCACTCCCGTCATTCTCCATTTTTTACCAAGGTTTGACATTTTCGATTCATCATTGGGGGAATTCGGTGCACTCTTTTTCCCTCATTAGGATTTTTTCCCAAAGGGTTTTTCCTGATGAGGTTTTTAACGAGGCATCCCCCCAAAATGAAACGAAAAACGTCAGCCTTCGGCCCACAACAGCAACGCAACTACTCTACTCCTTTTCACCACTTTACAAGTGCCTCAAGGAGTGGGGGACTGGAGGACCCCCTCGGGAAAATCATTAAATTACAAAAGATGTAGAAATTCCAACAAACAACAAAGCAAGCCCTCAAGTCCCGACATGTGGGTAACTGAGGGACTGCCTTCGGCAGGGACATAAAAGCAACAACTCCTCACCAACTTCAGAGATCACGACGGAACAACATCAAAGGGCAAGCACAAATTACTCCTTTTCTCTCAAGTACCTTTCGGCAAAAGGAGTGAGGGACTCCTGATGGAGTATATGGCCCGGGAACCCCCGGCCCACAGACTCCCACTACTCCAGCGAAGGCCCAACAGGCCCAAAAGGCCCAACAGGCCCAAATCACAACGCCCAGAGTACCAAGAAGTCCGCACTACGCGCCAGGGGTGCCTTCGGCTCCCTGGCCGAAGGTCTAAACTCTCACAGAACGGGTTTCTCAAGCAAACTAAGAAACTGGGAGAAAACGGCGAAAACAGTAGCCCTCGGTACTGTGAGCCCTCGGCACCAAGGTGCCCTCGGTTGGAGGAGCCTTCGGCTACTGCTCTGTGGCCGAAGGCATCTCACTCGACAAGATATCCGCCTCACATGCGTACAGATCACCGTACCCTGCACAGAAGTCCCATCCAACAGCCGCATTAAATGCGGCCACATGCGGCTGCCAGCGCCAACCAGTTGAGGTGACCCCTCGGCCAATGAGCGCTTGACACGTGTCCCTGCCCGGCATTTATTGCTACTATAAATAGCACCCCATTTCCCCATTTGTAACCACGCTGAAAACGGCATTCATACTGAATACACTCTCTCTCTACTTTTACTTGCTTGCTCTGACTTCTCTCTAAGTTATTCCCCGTAATAACCCTTCGGATATATACCCCCGGGTAGATAAGTTGTATCATGATGGTGAGTATATATAAACAAGGATGGGTCACATGTACTATGCCGAAACCCGATGGTGGATAAAAATGTAGAGAAGCGTTGGTACCATGCCCGAGGTGCCTGTTTGAGGCCATAGAGAGATTTGAGTAGTCGGCAAACGTGATGTGGTTTGTCGGGATCCCGGAAGCAGGGGGCTGATGCATGTAGACAATTTCCTCAAGTTCACCGTGTAAAAATGTGTTTTTCACATCGAGTTGGTGAAGAGGCCATGGGTGATGTAATGCCACGGTCAAGACAGTCCTTATGGTCGCCGGTTTTACCACCGGACTGAAAGTTTCGGCAAAGTCAATGCCGAGTTCTTGGGATTTGTTGTTGATGACTAACCGAGCTTTGTGTCTCTCTAAGGAACCGTCCGACCTGAATTTATGTTTAAACAACTAAAGACAACGAATAATGTTGGCGTTAGGTGGGCGGGGAACCAACTCCCACGTCCGATTTTTAATAAGAGCCGTAAACTCATCCTTCATGGCGGACAACCAGTGCGGATCATGTAACGCAATGATGGGTGACCGGGGAATGGGAGAAATATGGGGACGGTTATGTGTGATAAGGGTGAATGGTTGTTTGGGTTTGAAGATGCCGACTTTGGAACGGGTGATCATAGGATGGGTGGGAAGGGGTGGTGGGGTGGCTGAAGGGCGGTTGAGGGGGAGGTGTTGGACACGGTTGTAGGGGTTTCTGGGTTTGTGTTTTGAGAATGATGTTGATTTGATGGTGTGGCGTGAGAAGAAAACTAAGGAGGAGAGTCGGCTAGGGAGTCTGCATGGGAATCTGTTTGGTGTATGGATGGCGCGGGGGAGGGAAGTTGGTCCTCAGGGGGATTGGTTTGTGGGGAACAGGGTTGAGTGGGTACGGAGGCAGTGAGTTAATTAAGTAGAAATGGGTGAATGGGAGTGTCCAAAAATTCATACGATTTTTGTGAGGGGGTAGGAAGAATTTTTTGGTAGGGATACATGTCTTCATTAAAAGTAACATGGCGGGAGATAAAAGTTTTCTGAGTGAGGGGGTTTAGACAGATGTACCCTTTGTGATTTTGTGGGAACCCAAGAAATACGCACGGGGTGGACCGAGCATCAAGTTTATGGATGATAGTGGAGGGAAGGTGAGGGTAGTATAGGCATCCAAAAACACTTATATGGGTGTAAGTTGGAGTTTTGTGGTAGAGCAAATGAGTGGGGGAGAGGTGTAATAGTTGGGGTGAGGGTAAGATGTTGTGAAGGTAAGTGGCCATTTGGACGGCGTGAGGCCAAAATTTGGGGGGCACATGGGCATGTAGGAGTAAGGTGTGTGCCATGTTATTTATGGTGCGGATGGTACGTTCGGCCTTGCCGTTTTGGGGAGAGGTGTAGGGGCGGGAAAAACGAAATTGAATCCCATGCTTGTGACCGAAAGTGGTAAAAGCAAGGTTATCAAATTCTTTTCCATTGTCACATTGGAATGTTTTTATTTTCGAGTTAAACTGGGTTTGGATAAATGTATAGAATTGCACAAAAATGTTGTAAACTTTTGATTTGTGTTGAAGAGGATAGATCCAAAGGAATTTAGAAAAATCATCAAGAAACAATACATAGTAACGATGAGCATTGTAGCTTAAAATGGGTGAAGTCCATAGATCACTATGTATTATATCAAAGGGAGATGTAGTGTGAGAAGTAGAAGAGGAAAAGGGTAATTTAGTATGTTTTCCCATTTGACATGACATGCATTCTAAACTACAAACTTTATTACAATCAATAATATTATTGAGGCAGGGTGTAAAGAGGATGGGGTCGCCGGGGTGCCCTAGCCGATTGTGCCATCTTTGAGAAGAAACGGAAATAAGAGCGGAGTGGGCATTATTTGGTGGAGGACTTTGTGGCCGGTACGGGTAAAGATCACCGGAGCTGTCACATCTCATTAGTGGTATTCCCGTGTTGAGTGCCTTCACAGAAAAACCAAAAGGGTCAAACTCAATGGAAACATTATTATCTTTAGTAAAACGACGAACAGAAATAAGATTTTTGACTAGTTGAGGAGCGTAAAGAACATTGTTTAGCATGAGAGGTGGGAAGGGGGGTGGATGGACGTGTGTCCGTGACCCAAAACTGGAATGGATTGACCATTGCCCACAAGAATATTTTGTTGATGGCTATTATTAAAAAAAAGGAGTGAGAATACCACCATTGGAGGTCATGTGAGAAGTGGCGCCCGTGTCGAGGTACCAATTGTCATCCGGAGGCATGAGAGACATGGTAGCCATGGCAGATGCTATGTCAGTGGGAGAGTGAGTAGCAACATGTGCTTGAGTAGGGCACGGGCCGAAAATTCCGGGTGAAGGTGACGACTGTCGTGGAGCGGTGGGAGGTGACCATGTAGCCGAGGGGTATGGGCAAGGAGGAATAGACCATGGCGACGGCCAGTAGCCCCAAGGAGGCATGTGCCATGCTTGCGCCCTGGGGTTAGAAAAGTCTCCACCGGAGTATGAGTTGCGGCCTCGGCCGCCGCGAGAAGACCCACGACCACGACCACGATTATGAGGGCGGGCATGAGGGGCATCCAACCTAGGATTGTGCGGGGCCGTAGTAGCCAAGGCTGTAGGAGGGGGTGGGGCCGAATGAGCCAAGGCCGTAGGGGCACCTTGATGGGTCTTGCGGGTTTCTTCCAAGGTAACCATGGAGCGAGCTTTATAGAAGTGCGGCAACGGGTCACATTGTTGGATGAGAGAAGCAACAGTGTCATAGTGGGATGGTAGGCCATTGACCAAGCGTAAGACGAGCCCGTCATTAGATACGGGGGAGCCAACATTAGCGAGTTGAGTCGCTAGTGTTTTGAGAGCACGACAATAAGCAACCACATTCGGAAAATTTTCCAAACAGGTGTTGGATAATTCGTTTTCAAGGTAAACCGCCCTAGAGTGTCGGTTGTCTTGAAAAATGCCGACAAGGCGTTCCCAAGCTTGAAGAGCGATGGAGTCCGGTTCAATGATGGTGTGGAGAAGGTCATTGGAGATGGTACCGTATATCCATTGGAGGACAACAGCGTCTAGACGATTCCAAATGGCGTCGGCGTCGGCAGCTAGGACTTGTTTTTATTCCTCGGTGAGAGAAGGATCAACAATGGGAGGAGCAACGGCTTCGTCGGGTAAAATGTGGTCTATCACTTGATAAGCTCGGGAAGTGATCTTAAACAATTCGGCCCAGGAAGAGTATTCCACATTTTCCATATCTAGTGAGATAGGAATGAAATTCTTTATGTTGGAGATTGCACTGGGTGGAAGGGAGAATTTTTTGAGGAAGACATATTGGAGGAGAAGAAATATTGAAAAAAAATTGGAAGTCTGATACCAAGTTAGAAACCGAGAGAGAATGCTCGTCCCTTTTCATTAATCAAAAGCCAATATATATACAAGCTACACAAAACGTGATGACAATCCCCGTACAAATGAGTGGGTGCACGTTACACAAATAAACAACAATAAATGGAAATAATAATGGAGTCCCTTTCTATTCTAACGGATGGCCAAGTAATAATAAACAATAATGAAAAGCAATGGAAATAATAATGGAGTCCCTTTCCATCATTTGCAATGGAGCCAAAGATTCATTATTTTTTGGCTTGAGATTATGATGGAATAAAGCAAAATGGCTCACTAAACTGTCTGCGCTTCTTTGTAATGAAGCAGCAGTCAGTCCATGCAATTTTGGACGCGATTTTCACTATGGGTCATCCGGAAACAGTCTCTCTGTGCTTTAGTATAAGGGTAAGACTGCGTACATCCGACCCCCCCTTACCCCAACGTAGGTGGGAGCCTTTGCGGCACTGGGGTAAATGAAAATGAAAATGATGAACAAATGATGAGGAGTGCAGCGGCCAAAGAAGAAAAGTGACGGTTTGTCACTTTTGTGCGTTCCGTATTTGCATGGGCCATGCATGCATGTTGCATGCGTTAACACACAAACTTGTTGAATGAACTTGTATGACATTGATATTGATAAACACAGAGGTTATAGTCTTATAGATCATAAGCGGTTTTCATTAAACTTCAAATATGATTGAAAACTTGCAACAAATATTAAAACTATTTATGTGAGAATACTAATCAGGCTTATGAGATTGCTAGTCATGAATGTAATATAAATAATAATAAAAATCATGATAGCATTGAGATCTTCATGCGGTGTGAGAGTGTAGATATCCTAACATGTGCAACGCTCTTCCGAACAAAACGACAATATGTTTTGATGTCTTTACTGCAAGCATGTTGAACAAATCACATATAAGAATATCAAGCTCATACTCAAGAAACAGTAGATTGCTTTTCAAACTTTCAAGAAACTAAATGGTCCAAGTAGAATAGCATACTCATAAATGGACCAACAAGTATCACCACACCCATCCTAGTCAATACAAAATAAGCAATAATAATTGAAATCGAGCCTAGACCATCAACGCATAAGACCATGTGTAGAAGATCCATGCAGATATCTGAAATATGCTTAACACGGCAACATATGTGAGATGTGAGGTGCATCGTGCATGCATAAATAGGAAAACCGTGTATAAAACATATGTCATGTCTGAGAGAGTCATAGGCAAATATTATAATCCACCTATCATACTACAATACAAAGTAGGAACTGTAAGAAGTTCATTTGAAAGCGTGATTCTATTAGGCTATTAGCCAAGGGTGTGCACACAGGTTTTAATTAGGTATAAAGATGAAAACATTGCAATAAAGCAGATACATATTTATGCTGGGAAAGAAACAAACCCCAACAAATGCACGCGGCCTGAGCTCCCAAAAAGAAGTGTAAATCTCCGATTCAATTTATGCCAAGGAAAAGTTTCTTGTTATTCTTTAACCACCCCAAATTTCTTGCTCATAAGTTATAACTTGATCAAATTCAAAATTTACAATAACTATACTTTTAAATTCGAAAAACAAAACAAAACGAAACAAAAGGTGCAATTTAAGTGTTTAACAACCAATTTCAGAACCAAACCAAGACCACTAATTTAAGGTTTCGGTTAACGTTTGTAATTTTTAAAACTGAAATTTGTAATTTAACATCACTATGAGTATATGACACTACTAAAGAGGATGTCACATGTTCAAATTCATCCCAGTTCAAGAATGATGACTTTAACATAGAATAGATGCTATAATATGTTACGGAAGCATAGAGAAAAAAACTGAAATTGCATGTCCCGTTGTACTTTGGAACTTTAAACATGTCAAGAATCTAGATGTATATACAAAGTTCTGAAACACTAGAGTACATTACATACTTCACCGTCTTCACATCTAAGATGCAAAAAGCTACATTGGCCCGTATGTGCACTTTCTCATACCACTGCACCCCACAAGGGATTCGTCTGGGTAGGGAGAGAGGGGCTGTAGGAATCATTAAAATATGTTCAATTAATACTGATGACATGTATGAAGTCCAACAAGCTTACTTGGACCTTAAATAATAAATACTGAGAGCACTAGCAGTAATCAAGAAGTATATAAAGACACTCCTTACCCTTATCTTAGTCAATAGATTGGAGGGGGCTTCTCATGCATACCTCTTGCGTAGTTATAAGAGTTAGAAACCAATGCATAGACCCAAGTATGCGATAGGATTTCCAAGTTTCCTCTCACCCAATCAAACTAAATTCTCTCCAAGTGGTAAGCTCTCATCTTTCTTCCACAACTTCATATACCGCGTCAACCTGGACCAACACCCAATAGCATCTTCTTCACCGGGTAGCTCAATGGCAGGTTCCTTGAACATGGCCTTTTCGCCTAGCTCTTCGAATGCATCCACAAGGTTTTGGAGTCTTGCAACAAATTCAATGAGCAGTGAGGTGAATGTTGCCAAGGATAAGGCACTCGCATTCTCGTACGCCTTTGATTCTTCTTCTTCTTTCTCGGGAACTATCATAGGTGTGGTGTGTGAATGCCTAAGTTCCTGCTTCTCTAATGTGATTCCTGTCGTTGGATTGAGACATGAACCCTTCACATATTTACCATCATCCCAACTTGTCGGCATTTGAATGGATGTCAGATCAAGCCCGGCTTCGCTCAGGGACTTCACATAATGGCCTCCTGCGGTGTCATCATCCATGGTGAAAAATTCTTGGGGAACAGTGATTTTGCTGTGTGGTTGCCTCTCCCCGACTTCCCAGCTTTCAGCATTGACAAGGAGGTAAGATTTCTTGTCTACCTTGTTTTGCAACTCTTCTGCTGCTTCATGAACTTCGCCGAGTAAATCCACCACGCCCAACTTCTCCATTTTTTTCACTTTCTCCCCGAGTTCTCTCAATACTGCAGCACCTGCTATGCCTACCCTTTGAAGCTCACTACGGAAGACTTGTCTTCTTTCAGCAGGAGCCTACATATGCAGAACATGAAACATTATGTTTCTGTAAATAAATGTTAACATAAAAAGGACATTACTTGCAAAACGAACTTTCCATAATACGCGGGGAAGGAATTTAAAAGGGAGAAAATTGACTAAAAAACGAGAATTGTTTACTACTTTTATTCCTTTTTAGGACTGAACGAGTGAACCGAGTCTTTCTATCACAAAATAAGGACACTCCTATTTGCACACATGTTTTTTACTTGAAAAAATTACTCATGTTTTACTTTTATTTGAAGTAATGTATTACTTTTAAATTCATTCTACTAATCAATCTAACCAAGAAATTATTCAATTTGGTGGACTTGGACTATACAAGTCAAAAATAATTAAACAGCATAACAGGTGCTGCTTAAGATAGCATGAGAATATTCACATTGTATCTCTTTCATTATTTATAATTTATAAAAGGAATTTTATCGGTCCAAGACCTAAAAGTTGAGTTTACTATCAGTTCTGGACCCAAAAGAATAACTCTAACAATAAGGGACCTATAAGATTACAATCAATCAATACAATGCTTAAAAAATTAACGCCGTTAACTTGCCTCTAACAGAAGTTTGATACGCTCGCCACCTACATAAAAAATAGCCACATGTGCGTCCCAATCACTATTATTGGTGTATCCAGCTATACTCTTCAATCACTTCATCTTCCCTTGTCTTATTGTTTCTTTTTCACTCTCATCCACAAACTCTAGGTAGCCTATTCATTTTTTTCTCCGATCTTACCTCGCCCACACATACCTTCTCATCTTCCACTGTCACTAACCCTAGCTTCATCTTCCTAACACTCCAACTCATTACACCTTTGATTAATGAATGCCACAAGGAAAAGGATCTCGCCAGCGCTTCTCCTGCCGGCAAGTATGAATTTCATCGATGACGAAACATTTGTTGTTTTTGTCGATCGTTTAATGGCTGTGTGAGATGTGTTAATTTTATAATATTCTTTTAGATTTTAATTTTATGGAATTACATAGAGTGAGCGAGAGACCAACATGAAGTTATTGAGTACGATTTCTGTAAAAACTTCCTTCGGTTTCATGCTAGTGAAATTTGGAACTTTGTGTTTATTCATCTTAATTTTTGTTTGGGTATGTAAGTTTATTGTTCTAGGGTTGATTGTCTTGTACTGTAGCCATGTAAGTATACGTAATTGTGTTTGTTAATATATGGCTTTATGTATGGGGTAGATTCTGTAGCTTGAAATCCTTGAATAAAATGACTATTGAAGCCATATCTCATTTGTGTATAAATCATGTCCATGTGTGTAATTTTGATCTTGTGATAGTTGTGAACCACGAAATGATTCTTCATTGATAAGTGTGATATCCTTTAACTGAATTTGATAATAATATTTCACTCTAGATTATATTTAAAAATTTCTCTCAGTACACTAGGGCCTAATTCATCTCACACACATGGAACTTTGATAATTCATCTTTGGAGCACAAACAGAAGTCCTCTTTTTCAGTTCACCTACATACATTCTAAGGATGATTAACTAAATAAGGTTTAAGTTTGATCCATCCTGAAGCAATATCTTTTAATCTCGAATTCCATTTTAAGCAGCTAACGCTTTAGTTCTCTTGGTTTCACCTGGACTTATCTACATAAAAGATTTAGGAATTGAAATCATTATTGATTTTATTATTCTGAAATTTACCACATAAGCTAAGCCAGTGATTTACAAGAAAGAATTAGGGAAATAATATTAAAAAATCTGTAGATTTTTCAGAATAATTTTAAACCTTTTAGCCACACTAGTTGTCCAGCAAACATGTGAATTACGTTATACTCATTCCCTTATATAGTACGGAGTACAATATTAGCTAAGAAGAGATGAAAAGAACTGAAGGAAAACTTGGATTATTAATATCAAGCCACCATTGTCCTCTCACTGGTTATGAAAAGCTTTTTTCTCTCTATATATAATCTCATGGTGAACCCTAAGTCACAAATACTGCTAAATAAATTGTTCCATAAAAATTTTCATGTACTTTAACACAACAAAAACATAAAATTAATGAAAATAATGTAAAAGTGTAAGATATGGTAAAGAGATGCAGTGCAAAACAAAGTGTACGACAATCTTACTTTAACCCTAATTGGGATGGAATAAAAGTTTGCAGAATCGTGTATGAGGACTATGGCAGACTGGGCAGCTGAATCTTGTATGGGAAGAAGGAATTGTAGATAGAGGGATCGGCGGCAGTTGTCTACATAGAAGTTTAGCTATTTTCTGATTCATTATATGGGGTTTTTAATGTTTATTTTTGTTATTGTAATATGTGGTGCCACATCATATACAGTTAAATGTATGTTAACAGTGTTATTTTTTAAGCCTTGTATTGAAAGATTGTAATCTTATAGAGTTATAGGTCCCTTATTGATAGAATTATTCTTTTGGGTCAAGAATTGATCGTAAACTCAACTTTTAGGTCCTGTATTCCATGTATTACAATCCGGCAAACTCTTTCTTTTGTTTCATAATTTTCAATACTTTTTGGAGGAGAGGGTAGACTTGAAAAATATTCATATTAGATGTGATATCATATCATTTCAAGTTTGCCTTGCTTTAACAAGTCAGAGGAGTACATACTTTTACTACTCCAAGTTCAATGTTCTTTTTCTCGGGAATTGGTGAATGCTTTAGTTTTAATCACTTACATTTTGGATGCCCTGGAGGCCTAGAATGATTGTATGGTTTATGATTTCGTTAAAGATAAAATTTTAGTGTGCGTTCAGGCTAAAAAAATGTCCTAGTAGAACAGCCCACCTGTATTTCTGAAAGTATACAGCCATGCAGTGCCATGACCATGAATGCACAATGCCTTAATGCCCCGCTGAGCTTAACATAATTTCTCCATGGGTATGCAAACATTTTGTATGGACCGTGTGGTGGTTCCCAGATAGCAAATCCCATCTGCAAATATATAAAGTAAAAGCAATTTAGTTTATTAGTTGTGATGACAATACTGCGGGGACAATGTATGATCATACCAGAGCCTCCTCCTTGCTTGTCGACTCTACTGCTGTTCTATACCCACTGTACACCGGATCATCTGAAGCTTGGTAGGTGAGTATTTTCGAAGGGATTCTCTCATATTCTACACAATTCAGATACCCATTGATGCAATCTGAAACAAAGAAATTAAGTGTTCACATATGAAAAAGATTATAACAGAACAATAACAAAATGGGCTATCCAGAAGGGGGGAAATTCCGTCTCAGAAACCATAATTACAACAACAACAACAATAATACATAATAATCATAATGACAACAACAATAATAAGGGAAAAGATTCAAATAGACCATTCTACTATTTCGAATCCATCACTTGAATCCTTATACTAAAAAAATATTATAGCAGGTCATTTTCGAAAAAATAAATTAAGAAAATTGACAAATCTTACAGAATTTCATATATATTTTAAAATATAGAAACTTTAGTATAAAAAGTAAAGATGAAAAATAAGAAAAATAATTTAAAAGGTATAAAATCAATATTTAACATCTTTTAAAGAGATGGAGAATATGCAAATATTCGAAAAATGAAAAAAATAGATATTGACATTCTTAAATTTATTACATTTTTCTACTTTTTCGAATTTTAAAAATGTTCTTAAAACCTTTCTATGATTGGTCGATTTTTTAAAGTATGCATGCTTATATAGTTGTATGATACTTTTTTAGTGTATGAGCTTAAGTGATGGAGTAGAAAGGTTTATTTGAACCTTTTCCCTAATAATAATGATGATTATAATCATCATCATCATCACTCCACTGCCGCAAAGGCTCCCACACCTTCGGTGGGGTAAGGGAATAATGATGATTATAATAATAAAAGAAATTGACCTTCTAATGAAGATGCAACGCCCTTGAAATTTTTTGTGACAAGGTTGTGAAGATCCTCGCCAGCCCATATAGGAAAAATGCAAATATTTACAGCCAAAGAAACACCGGCACCAAGTGCAATTAGGAGGAATCGAGTGACAGCTGTGTGAACAAATTCTCTGGTGCGATAGCCCGAAATCATTATGAAGCAATATGTTATCAAGAAAACGCGGAAGCCATATTCATATGGCTTCACCTTTGGTAGCATTTTAGCATATGTTATGCATGTGCCTGACAATCATATACCAGAAAGGCATGCTAAGGAGTAAGATTCACAACACTAAGACAGAGAACCGTCAAGAAAAACAAAAGTCTAAAACTATACCTGCGATGAATATGCCTAAGATTATAACAACTTCTTCCCAGTCTCCAGCCAACTGAGATAACCCAGCCATTGCTAGAGCAAGTCCTCCAGCTGACAATGTCCCTAATCCACGGTTAAATCCTTTGCTAAGAGTGGCACCTGAAAGGAGAATGCTTGTCATCCTAAATTGCAAGTAACTTTTATAAATCATCCAGAAAAGTTAGAAAAGACGGCAACTTCCTTATTCCTTAAGTATTTATTACTACCTCCGTCCTAATGTACTTTGCCAAGTGCAAAGTAGGTGAGAAATAAGAATATTAAAAACTGTGTGGTTGAGATCTGTGCAGAAGAGACAGAAATGTGCAAAAGCACAAATTAGTTGCTTTAATAGGAAAAGTGTTTTGGGACAACCTAGTGGAAAGTTGTCAAAGTCCAACGGGACGGAAGGAGTACTAATTAAATATATATTTGATATAGAACATCAATTTCTATTATTAGTTCATTAATATCACCAGTGCTGCAGACCTGCAGTTACCGAAGTTCAACTAGCCCATGTAGAGGTTAGTAACAGCTTTGATGATCCTGATTAAAAATTAAAACTTTTTAAGGAGAAACGCCAAAAAGGGAAAATTCCTGCAATCTAATCAAACTTATTTTAAGATCTTGATGCACAGTTCTGAAACCATACATCCCATTTATGTTTTCGTTTTTCTAAATTCACATGACACCAAGCTTACAGTGGAAAGAAATTATAAAATTTCAAGTGTGAAAACGAAGAGGAATAAGGAGTACCTATACTGAACTCGAACACTACAACGACAGTAAGAATGGCCCACACAGAGTATTTACTGAGCTCTTCCACGGGCTCCTTGAAGAAGATGAGCAGTGATATGAGCATCAACGCCAGGCCCATCTTGGCGGAGAAGATGACCTTTCTCGGGTCGGATCGACCCATCTGCCATGCGTTCATGGCGACGGTCCGGAAGCTCTCCCATAGCTTCACAACCTTCGAACAAAGCCCGAAGCGGCAGAACTTCGGCCTATCTCTGTAGTCGAGAAGAAAACTTGAGAGCTCGGAGGAGTCGGCGTTGCATCTGGGCGACAAAAGCCTGTCCCTTTCCCTCTTATCCGCGAAACTCTGCCGAAAGGACCCCAATTTCCCCGTCATTCCTCGACTCTGCTTCTCTAACTCCGGCTCTAATCCATGGAAGTCCTTCTCTTTCTTGACATAATAAAGCAACAGTACGGAGCATATGCCTATGTCGGGGGTGGGGTGCTGGAGGATGTTGGTTGGAACAGGAACAGAAAACAAGAGAGGTGTTTTTGTGGTAAAAATCAGTCCAGGTCACGGGAAAGAAGAAAGCGCAAGATGACGTCGTTTTTAGATTAGATCTGTTGTGATTGGGCTGATGACGTGATGTTGTCATTATTGTTACTCACGTTGTTAGTATTATACGGTTGGTGAATAATACAATAATACGTACGTTCGTGTATAATACGATACAATTATATAAAATACGGCTAAATATATGTTTCATATGTTCGTGAAATGAATAAAGATACGAACGTGTTTTAAACGTTTCACAATTTAAAAATACGGCATATAATACATGTCTTATATACTAACTAGTATTTCACCCGTGCGTTGCACGTGATGTAATACGCAAATATTATAGATGTGTTCAAAAATTATAATATTATTTATCACACAAATGATAGAAATTATAAATAAATATTATTAGAATTTTAATAAACACACTATTAATTATTGAAGACTGCATAGTGAACAATGCCTTTTTATAAATTATACTCCGTTCGTCCTCTATAGTTGTCCCATTTTTTCATTTCTGGATGTCCCCTTTATTATTGTCTCATACCATATTTGGTAACATTTGTGTGACTTTAATTCATTCTTATTTTATTCTCACTTTATCAACTCATTATAAATCACATAATTTTACTTTTTTTAAAAACCACGCCACTTTCTTCTGTCCTAATATTAGGGGGACGGAGCCCAGAGGTAGTAACTTTTTTGGATTTCCTTAGTCATCGTGTATCATGAACTTTAAGCCATATAATTTTTTTGGATTTCAAAATTGCAACGTACAACGATTTATGCGTAAAAAGGAATGTCACCATCAAACACCCATGATTTCCAACAATTTCCCTTTACGATCATTAACATCGCAAAGCTTTCTATTAAAGGTAATTGTCTACCGAAACATGAAAGGCCTGAAAACTCACATCTCTTAGAGAAAGACTAAACCCGAGTATAAGGAACTTCTCACTACCGTTTGTTTCAGACATCATTCAAAATTTAAAAGTATGTGCTCGAAGTTCTCTAATGAGAGAAAGCTAAGATAGATATTAAATGAAACCCTATATACCAAAGGGAAGCTTAAAAGTGAAGACTTTAGTGAGGAGCAATTTATCACCCACCAATGAAAAATGCCATTCCCCAAAATATATTAGGAAAATGGAAAATTGTAATGATGTTTAAGTAAATTGTGAAATGTCAAAGAACCAGTTTCAGAAAACTAAAACTGAAAAATGGTGTCAATTACAAAATAAACGAAATAGGAAAATGGAAGATAGAAGAAAAATATGACATTCACAAAGAGGATAAAAGGACATCTAACCCTAAGGACATAGCAATGTTCAATTCCTTTACTCACCCGAGGGAGGAGTCAATTGCAAATCCACCAGATGGAGCAATGATTAGTTTTACCTGATAATTTCACCATACAAAAATGAAGAAAACAACAATTATATTACCAAATGTCAATATACAATAGCAAGGATGAAAAATATAATTGTAGAAAGTGATACGTGATTGAGGAATTTTAACAAACATCTTCCTTGCAAAATCTGAAACAATCTTCTAAGTTATACAAACCTAACAATTCCAAGTTGGATATCAATTTAAAATAAAAAAAGGAGTATATGATTTAGAAGAATAACTTACCTCGATCTCAGTTTGAATCGGATGGACTTCGGCCAATATGCTTTCGGCTAAGAGGATTCAGGAAGATGAAGAAAGAAGAATGCATCTGAATGAAGGAATATGCATTTCTTTTTGGCTAATTTGCGGAGATGATTTCAGCTAGATGAATATCCATCTATTTTTCGGATGATTTCCAAGCAGATGTTTCCGTCTATTTTTTAGGAAGGGTAGATCTCCGTAGAAGGCACTGATCGAAAGAGAAACAAAATGAATGTGAAAGGTAGAAACAGTTGATTTAGTTTATGAGAATCGGACGGGTGTTATGAAAAGTTTAGGTGAGGGGGAATTTTTTGGGTGGAATTGTAGTGCTATTAAAGAGAGGATTTTTGAGAAAGGGTAGATCTCTGTAGAAGGCACTGATCGAAAGAGAAACAAAATGAATGTGAAAGGTAGAAGCAGTTGATTTAGTTTATGAGAATCGGACGGGTGTTATGAAAAGTTTAGGTGAGCATGAATTTTTTGGGTGGAATTTTAGTGCTATTAAGGAGAGGATTTTTGAGGAAGGGTAGATCTCCGTAGAAGGCACTGATCGAAAGAGAAACAAAATGAATGTGAAAGGTAGAAGCAGTTGATTTAGTTTATGAGAATGGGACGGGTGTTATGAAAAGTTTAGGTGAGGGGGATTTTTTTGGGTGGAATTGTAGTGCTATTAAGGAGAGGATTTTTGAGAAAGGGTAGATCTCCGTAGAAGGCACTGATCGAAAGAGAAACAAAATGAATGTGAAAGGTAGAAGCAGTTGATTTAGTTTATGAGAATCGGACGGATGTTATGAAAAGTTTAGGTGAGCGGGAATTTTTTGGGTGGAATTGTAGTGCTTTTAAGGAGAGGATTTTTGAGGAAGGGTAGATCTCCGTAGAAGGCACTGATCGAAAGAGAAACAAAATGAATGTGAAAGGTAGAAGCAGTTGATTTAGTTTATGAGAATGGGACGGGTGTTATGAAAAGTTTAGGTGAGAGGGAATTTTTTGGGTGGAATTGTAGTGCTATTAAGGAGAGGATTTTTGAGAAAGGGTAGATCTCCGTAGAAGGCACTGATCGAAAGAGAAACAAAATGAATGTGAAAGGTAGAAGCCGTTGATTTAGTTTATGAGAATCGGACGGGTGTTATGAAAAGTTTAGGTGAGCGGGAATTTTTTGGGTGGAATTGTAGTGCTATTAAGGAGAGGATTTAATGATGAGAATAAAGAGTGATTTAGCATATGCATTACATTCTTCAACCGTTTAAAATGTACGAAATAGTTTTTCAGATATACGAATTTTAATTCATAGGTACAATAAATAATAAAAATGATATTGCCTATTTGTGTAGAAGTAGAGACATATTTCTAGAGAATAGTTTATATTATTGTGACCGTAAATTTGGTGAGCCACCATAATATTCTTTTCTTTTTGGAGTTTTGGTATGAGTGGAGAATAAGAGTAACAAAATAATAGTACAATAGCAATATAAAAACGAATTATGACTTTAAGAAGCTAATTTATTAAATCTGATGACTATTAAACAATTAACGAACGTATAAGACATAATAATTTTTTAAGCATTATAAATAGTATTGAGCAGCTAAACATTTCACTTCATTTGTACCACTCAATTAGGCTTCAGTTTAATGGTATTTTTAATAAAATACATATCAATACGTACATTATGTGTATTATACATTTTATCCTTAAAGTACGTGAATTTTTAAGTATTTTCTGAAAAATTCATAAACGGAAGTATTATACGCGAATTATACGTTTGAGTGTATTATACGTGAATTATACGCGAATAAACTAACAGAGGTTACTCATTCTCGACTATACCAGATTTAAACAGATTAGATCAGACTTAACCAGATCAGACCAGACCAGCAATTTACGGTAAGTAAAAGAATTTGACATTGCTTCTGTTGCTAAATTCATCATAGATAAATAAACTGGCCAAATTAATAAAAAAAACACCAATTTGGTAAAAAAAGACTTCTAAGACATTGGTAAAAGAAGAAGCTTTGGTGACAAATTAATCAATTTTCTATGAGCAAGACATGTACTTTTAGTACTCGACTTTATAATTCTCGACATTTTCATATCTTAAGTATTGTGAAATTGGCATTTTTAGTCCACCTGTCCACCCACTTTGATTTGTCATGAAAAGTAAATGACTAAAAATGTCAAGGACAATGTTTGATAATAGCAGAAAACCTAAAAATGTCGACGGCAGGTTTGATAATAGAAGTTGTCTGCTAGCTAATAATCGGTTGAATCAGCAGATTGATACTGACATTTCCGTTAGTGATGGATTGTGTACCTGGGGGTAGCTTATCCGAGGGGTTACTGCGAGGAGTAACTAGAGAGAAGTCAGAGCAAATAAGTAAGAGAGATAAGGAGTTCGAATGTGGAATGTGTATTCAAGTTGTCCGTTACAAAGGAAAAAGGGGGAGTTATTTATAGTAGTAATAAATGCTAGATAGGGACACGTGTCAGCATTCTGGTGGTCGAGGGGTCACCTCAACAGGGGTGGCACTGGCACTCGCATGTGGCCGCATTAAATGCGGTGATTGGATGTGACGTTTGTACTTGGTACGGTGATCCAGGCGCATGTGGAGAGGATATTCTGTCGAGGTGGATGCCTTCGGCTGAAGGGTGCTGGGCCGAAGGCTCTTCTAACCGGGGGCTCCATTATGCCGAAGGCTGTATGTGCCGAATGCTTCTGATGCCGAAGGTGAATACTCATGCTGAAGACCCCCTGTGGCCGAAGGCTCTGTTTAGCCGAAGGCTCTGTAAGCCGAAGGCCAGGTGGGCCTGTGCGAGAGCTCCTGGCATCAAATACAGATGCCGGAGGGATGGAGACCGAGGGCCCTGTGTGATTGCCCCCGACATCAAATAAATATGCCTGAGGGATGAAGACCGAGGGCCTGTATGATAGCCCATGGCATCAAATAAAGATGCCGGGGGGATGAAGGCTAGGCCAAGGGGCCTGTATGACAGCCCCCAGCATCAAATAAGGATGCCGGAGGGATGAAGGTTGAGGGCATGTATGATAGCCCCTGGCATCAAATAAAGACGTCGGAGGGATGAAGGCCGAGGGACCTGTATGATTACCCCTGACATCAAATAAAGATGCCGGAGGGATGAAGGCTGAGGGCCTGTATGATAGCCCCTGGCATCAAATAAAGATGCCAGAGGGATGAAGGCCGAGGGACGTATGTGATGGCCCCCGACATCAAATAAAGATGCCGGAGGGATGAAGATCCGTTGTGACATCGTTATGACATAGAGTCATGCTGAGGCTGAGGGCCATTGTGATGTTGAATCACGCTGAGACCGAGGGCCTTTGGTGATGTGAAATCACGTTAAGGCAAAAACCGTTGTGACGTAGAGTCACGCTGAGGCCGAGGGC